ACCAGTAAGGCATTGTTATCCCACTCTTCCGAGCTTCTAACGAACCAGCCCTCGTACTTCAGTAGAATATCAGTTACGGGGGTCACCTCGAGCTATGTCACGGGTTTCGTGGCACAAGCCATTGATTGGCGTCCTTATGGCCTAGCCTTTACACTGGGTTTTGTGATGACAACCCGGATGGAAGTTGTATCTGTCATGTTGTGGCTTGTTTGACACCACGAATGAAATTCAATAACTCTCTGTCTTATGTACTGCTGGCTTTTCGAATGGGAGACGGTGCCTCTGTGCTGCGCCAAGCTTCATTGGCCTGACTTTTCTAACGCAGGCTTTACGGCCATGAGACAACACAGCTAGTGGACACAGGTGTAACGATAATTCATACTGTCCTCGAGCCCAGCCGCCTCCGGATTCTGGGTCCTCACGTCGATGTTGATGCCTTGCCGGACCGTCGAAACCTGATGCCCAGCCGCCTCCGGATTCTGGGTCCTCACTTCGATGTTGATGCCTTGCCGGACCGTGATACTTATTGGTCGAAACCTGATATCCACGGAACGGATTGTGAGGGTGTAGTGGCGTACTGGAATTTAGATAGCATATGGGTACGATAATAAACAGCCTTCAAAAACTACAATCAGTTTGCTATATAGTGCTGGTATTCCTGTTGGTTTGTTAACCCAGGTGAGGCATCCGGGTACAGAATGAGTTAACCAGTTGAAATGCAGAACTTCTTCAGTGTAAACCGCGTTTATACACTCATTTGCAAATCGAGTTGGTTTTCACGGGAGACCCTGGTGAATCCCTCGTCTATGATGTTCTTCAACTGAATGTGCCGCCTTATGTTTCAGTTGGTACGATATTCGAGACGTCGCAATATATTTTCATAATGGGAACTACTAACAAGTTTGCGAAGAGTTTTCAGCAACCTTGTCAGTAGTTTCTTCTATGAAAATAAACTGCGCTTCTGTGATAGTGATTGTCGACACTGTCTACCCTTCGCCTTCCGCCTGCGCACTTTTGCTTATGCTTTCGGGGTTCTCATACCATGATCAAGCAATGGGGAAAAATGCTCGCTTCCAAATAGTCATAGCCTTATCGCCGATATTTTCTGGCTTTAAGATTTGAGGTGTTTGTTTTGTGTCACCTTGAGGAATGTCTTAGTTCTTGAAGCTACTCTTAGTTTGATCGTTGTCCTAAGGCGGCACGCTCACCCCTTACTTATTGTACTAAACAAAGACAAATCTTCCAATGCTCGTGCCAGTTCGAAGGCGTTACTACATCCATATTATTGGCTTCCAAAACATTAACTCAACAACGACAATTCCGTATTCAACAGAACGTACGCTGCACCCGGAAACTACTTTCATCACAGTTGGAAAGATCTTTTGCGGAGCGCTTGTTCTTTTGAGAAAATCCTTTCCCTGACAGTGCAGAAGTTTTGGTATTATTATTGTTCCGCGGAGTGACAACGGTGTACTTCGGACGTGTGTTCAGTTTCGTAGCTTTATCATAGTTGTGTGCTGGACGCTTTGATGAGTTGATGAATTCAACATTCCAGTTGTTTAAGTTTCTCAAAAATAATTTAGATTCCAACACATCTAAATTCGTATTCCTTATAGTTATTTGTGAGTCATCCTGGTTACTGATTCAAACTATCATATGGGGGTCAGCTCAGCGCTCTTGCCTTCAATGAAACTATTTTCGCCCCACGGAATTTCTGTTGTATTTATTCTTGAGGAATCAAATCCCAGACGCAAAGGGATGACACGTCTCTCTAGTTTCTGAAATAAAAAGTAGACCTTCCAGGAAGATACAGCCGTGCTGTCGTCATCCGCTGACAAGGCTAAGTTCATCAAGCTGCTGATGTCTCCGTTGGACCATGTCTTTCAGAATGTGCGCCACGAACCCGCCTAGCTTATGATCCACCATGCTGGTCCAGATGAAATCGGTCTGACGTTCCTCTTAATTCACTGACCAGCGCAGCTTTTGGGTTCGTGACTCTGACGATTGAGACATGCCGCCATCCAGTTGCTTGTATAGTTGAAGTGCACAAGGAAGCTCACATTTCGGCGTGGTCACCTGACATTAACAGAGAACAACACACAGGCCACAATCGATTTTTACGGTGCTATGGTGACTGGTTTTGGCTTAGTGTGCGTTGTTAGAAGTTTATTCGAGCTGTCTGATCTCTGGACTACTTTAAATCGTTGCGTTTTTGGTTCCCTTTACTGCCGCTACGACAGCGCAATGTCGTTGGTCCTGTTCCAGCTAACTGCAGAAAAGCATTAGGATACTGACTGCCTGGTATGTCTGCCCGACCCCGGATGATGGTGTGCGAAACATATGCGTACCTCAGCGTGTCGTCGAAGACGCTAAGTGAAAGTGAAACGGTTTTGTTTATTTGCTCACTACCTATAATCCATATGTCTGCTGTTGAGTTCCTAATCGATACGACCACCGTTCGACATAGGCGTAAAGGTACATTAAGTTGTACCGAGCGATGTGGCTAGATCAGAGTTTGTGTTTTTTCCACCTCACGCCTAGTTCCACAAATCGAAATTGCAAGCTCATCTGTCTCCATAATTGAAATGTCCAAAAAGTGATTTGCTTGAGGATACTGCAAAGTTAGAGGGTGACTCACAAGGGTACGAGTATTCATAGGTGATAGCCAACAAGAATATATCAGGTGCCTAAAATTGACATCCGAAGAGTTGGCTAACTAGCAGGTAGAATCAAATAAACACATACACACTCCTCACTCAGCACATTCGCTTTGAACTTGTTACGTTGTACCTCACAGTTGTCGTGTTTATCTCAGGGAATTTTTTGTAGATATCATTCTGCTAGAACAACAGAGACCAGTTATAACGAGTTTTGGGGACGGGTTGCACAGTTGATCCGTGCTTATGTTTTGGAATCGCATATGTCGTCATGGTTACATAACTTTTACTGATTGTTACTTTCATGGAGAAAGCAATTAAATTTCCGCTTTTTATCTCGTTTTGCAACAACTCATATGTTCTGTTGAGTGATTCATGTGCGATAACAGTCGAGTTGAACTGAGACGTCGGATAGGATCATTTGCGCTGGATAAGGATGACTTTTGCATTTTGTTTGCGTGTTCATTTACAAACATTATGGTAATCGTTAATCATTCCACTCTAAAAGTGTATTCACAGACGAATTGGGCATTACAGATGCCATGTTAGACATTCTGTTTCATGGTCTGGACTAGACGTTGCCTGTTCGAATGGCAAACTCTTTGCTGTCTTCATCAGGTTGTGACATAACGCGACTCCTGATAAATGCTCCTTCATTTTACTCCCACTCACCTGGAATATCTCACCCCTAGCCAATCGATTTGTACTTGTCAAGTTAATGGTCCCTTTCCTGAGTATTCCAGTACTGTAATCGTTTCCTCTGTTGGACACATTACAGTGCATGTGTTAGTTGCTTCCAACTTTTGTTTTCCTTTTCCTATTTGACATTGTACTGTAGTCTGACCAGAGTCTATCCGGAACACACATTTGATAGGTTCTTTTTGGGTCTGATTAACGGTATTTCTTTTAGCTTACGGAGAACATCCTGCCATACTAGTGTAACGGAGTACACTACTGATGAAGCATGCGAGTAGTATGTAGTTTTCCCATAAGTCCGCTTCGTGTCTGTTGAAAAATGAGATTTATTACAGAATATGTGGAATCGCTTTGTAGCATTCGTTTACGTTTGAGTGATAGTCAGTGAGTGTCCAGAAAAGTTCAGGAAGACCTTTTCGAGAAGAAAACGAATACACAGTTTTTATAAACAAGATGCATATGAGAGTTGCTTCCCTGCCCAATAGTCTGTAACAGTTCAGTTCTTCGATCAATAACTCCGCAGCGAAGACCTTCTTCCATTCACTAGTATAAAAGTACGGATATTAAGCTAATACGTGTAATGAAAGACTGATTAGGTCTTCAGGTGCGACAGTACTACATGTGCTACTGTGTTGCGCTCGTTGTGGGGGAGATATCCCCGCAATTTTGTTTGAGTTTGTCTGTTGCACTCATATTAGCGTATTAGTCATTTGCTTAAGACGGTTCGTTGTTCGTAACTGAGGTTACTGCGATTTGTAAGTATTCAAGTATCTTTAGTCCAGTCCTGTGATCATAAACTAACACAATGCAGAAACCTAACATACTAAAGTTTAATTGCTGAACCTTCATTTAGTGCTGCGTTATGCGTTCCTACTTTGGTGAAACAGTTATCAGGAGGTTACGCTGTATAGGTTGTTCACCCTCAAAAGATCTTTCCAAGAATGCATAGTTTAAAGGTTTTTCAATCCATCACAATTGTTTCTTTTAGTTCTTGTGACCGTGAATCGCCAAAGGGCGCTTCGGCAGGCGAATCGGGATCGAGGCGGAGCCAATAGTTCTGGACTTCGGATATTAGTCTTGGAGCTTTATGATTCACGGCCAATCAATTTTCATTTAGGAATTTCCGTGTAAATTTAACGACTACCGAGATGGTCCATAGCGTGGAAACGGAAGAAGATCGCTTTCATCCATGACAATCGAATTCATTGTGTATATCGGTCAGGACACAACGGTCTTTCTGTGTGAATCTTTATTTGCATGTGGTCGGTTGTCTTTTGCAATGCTTTTGGGAATGATGAAGGTGATTCTCGCATAGAGGTTGTATAGAGGTACATTTTGGCAGTAGAACGCCGTCTAGAAATGATTGATTTCAGTATAACGGTCTTTCTGTGTGAATCTTTATTTGCATGTGGTCGGTTGTCTTTTGCAATGCTTTTGGGAATGATGAAGGTGATCCTCGCGTAAAGGTTGTATAGAGGTACATGATTGATTTCAGTACCCTTTTAGGGATTTTATTCACTGCTAACTCTGTAGAACACTATAGATATCAGTGAATGTGTACGAAGTTTTAGACTGTTAGGTTTGCTTTTTATTGTCATGTTTTTGTTGCGATAACACAGAAAACTCCTTTTTTGTTTCCCTTTATAGTAGCGCGCGAAGATGAGTCCCGAGTAGACAACTCCACAGCTATCAATTTATCCCTAGAGAATATACAGCCCATGAAAAAGAAGACAAACAAAAAACACAAGGGTCCTAATTCTAGCACTACCATGGCAACCAAAGGTGAGCCAGCGAGTACAACAGGAGAGTCCGCTGTAGAGGATTGGCAAAGCGTATCAGAAGATTTCGACGAGTTCAAGGAAAAACCGGCTCCAGAACCAGATCACGATGCTGATGCCTGGTCCAGCGCCACAGAGACTGCAGAGGCCGATGCCGAACTTACGTCGACTGGCACCGTTCCCTGTCTTGATCGTGCAAAACCGCACGATTTATTGTTGAACAGGAAAAATAAAACTGTTTCGGCTAGAAATGGCTCATCAAGAGCCTACTCCACTGCTGTAAGTGGGGCAGAGTTGTCTAACACCGCAGCTTCAGCAAAAAAACCGAGTCTTAGTTGGACAGATTGGGGCAAGGCTATTCGACGACGTTATCAAGAGGAGGAACTCCGTGAGAAACTGCATGATACAAAACCCCTTCGAACCAGTGTTTCTTCGGATGTTGATGAACCGCTGAGTCCATTTTCCGGTTATGAGGCTGACCAAGAGGATAATGCTGCCAGCAAATCCGCCGCCGGTCACTTTTCACCAGTATCAAAAGAACATGACACATTTTACGAATTGTCCCCTGCCATTCAGAGTTTTAATGAGGAAGTAACCAAAGAGAAAACGTACGGCACTTTCCACACAAACACTCTTACTGATATGGATACTGACTTCCCACCTTTAGCTGCCGGAACACAACCATATCATGGTTTGTTTGTCGGGGAAGGTTGGCCTGGTGAGAAGAAGCCTAATGAGGACAAACAAAGTCATTCAGTCGTCAAGCCAGAACCGAAGAAGTCGCAAAATACTGGAAAGGAACCAAAGAAACATGTTGGTACTGGTTCGAAACCAGTAATCCTAGCAGAACACTCGACGCCCACAGTTTCAAACAAGCCTGTTGACAACGGGGAATGGCCTACAGTAATGGCACACGTTTTTGAAGACAATAACGAGCCCGAAATGTGGCTTCAGTGTATGGAAAACCCCGTTCCAGTCCCGGAACCAGCAAAGGATGGTGGGGTGCGAAGCGAAGATCCGAAACCCCAAGACATACAAGTGTCAAAGGGACCAGCTTCTTCAAAAAGGGCTCCTTGTGAGATATCAAATTCAACCATTGAATGGGGTATGAACCAGTTCCATGGATTGTTCAGGGGCCCTGGTTGGCCGGCCAATGAAACGGGTCCTGCTAAAGAAAAAGATCTAACTAAAGGAAAACCTGCCACCAAAAATCAACGGCGGCGTCAGAAGTCTGGGACACAGTCGGATTCCTTAGATGCTAGTGAAAGCACTCAAACAGCCACAAATGCTGTTCAGGCCGCGGAAAAAACGGCCGGTTCTGTACACAAACCGGTGTTAGATGATTGGAAGTCAGTTGTTGCTCAGATTTATGAAAAGACGATTACACCGATGGCTGAACTCAACTCATTCATCGTTTCGCCTTTCAGCGGGACAACAGCAACAGATCAGCAAGTCAAATCTACTGTTTATGAAGATAACAATCAGACATTTGCTCCACCCTCAGCTCCTTGGAACTCCTGTCTGGACAATACAGATGATGTATGCTTTACATCCGATATTTGGAAACCTGCAGAGGACCAATTTTCCAAGGTGGAATACGACTTACAGAGAGAAGGAACTAATTATTCAACAACCTCTGAAGGTGGCCCGATTCCAGAAACGATTTGTAATGTAGGTGATCTACGTGGAGGGGATGCAGAGCCTGACAACTTGCCCGGCGAACTCTCAATTGATAATCACAGTCCGATGCAGGAGGACAAGCCTGCGAATAAGCAGGAGGTCGAATTATCAGCCCCTGTTGTAGAGCCCGCTACTGAAATAGTACACGTTGAACCTAGCCCATTCAGTCCCATTCAGTCGCACGAGCAACCGAAGGTCTCAGAGTCAGAATCAGCGCATGGAGACCATGGAGGCGCTCCGGAGGTTGCTGCAGCTTCAGCCAGTGCCCAGAACAAGCCCAAGAAGAACAAAAGTAAGCGGCATAAGAAGAAAAAGTGAACTGAAATGCTGACGCCCCCAGGACCTTTCTGAATTTCGCTGCTTGTTTGTGGCAGCCCATGACACCACTGACTGAAGTCATTTATTTGCGCAGCTAAAAATAATTACATGTTGAAAAACATACTCTGCTAAATATCACACAACTGTCAACCCTGACCTCCTTCATTTTATCCAGCTCCGCTTGTTTCTTGTCGTTTCATACGTCTGTCTTTCATTTTTTTGTCTGAAATTCGTGTCACCTATCCAACTGCCATTCACCGAGTAGTTTAAACTCGTCACCTCATATATTTTCTAGTTTCTCAATCAATTTAATTTTTTGCTTGTCTATTCTTGCTCTTCTCCAGCGCTTTTCAGTTTATTTACTCCCCGGAGCAGTTTTGCAGCCACTCATGTATACCGTTCGGGTCGCTTGGGTGGCATCTTTGGACATAGATTTTCCGTTATAAATGCATACCGTAAGGCACCTACGAGACTTCGATTTCTTTCAATTGGAGGTGATACATATCGTAGGATCATACTCACTTGCCAAATTCATCAAAGTTAATCGACTGACCAACATACTCCGGCCCATCTTAGGGTAAAACGTCAACATAAGGAAAGCTGCGATACGAAGTGGTGACCACGGTGAATTCTTTTCCACATTACGCTTACGGAAGCGCTCCAATGTGTACCACTCTCCAGATCATTGCGGAGTAAGGCCTTCCAGGATCACGGAGAGGGAATAATTTGACCTCATGCCTGTCCCCTCTAGGTCGTGACTGATGGGATAAGGCAGTTGTAGAGTTTCTAGAGGGGTGACCTGTTTACAAGTTATTGTACACGGCACAAGTTGAGTCCCACCGAATATCAGTAGAGGTGAATACCATTGAGATACCATTATCCGAAATTTCGTAGATTCTGTCTTGATTATCACTATTTCAACGAAGCTCGTTTCTTTCAAACAATGGCGGAATACGTCCTTCCGCGTTTTGAACAGCATTCTGTTAGAAATCGAGATGATTCATAACGTACGCAAGAAGTAACTTGGTTCTCGTGATCTGTGGCTACCGAATGAGCTCCGAAAAGAGCGGAATTTGCAATGAACTGTTAGATAGTTTTCGGCAACCTTATGAGTAGTTTTATTCTGGGAAAATAGCTGGCTTCAGACCAAAAATACTCTACCAGGATTTGCAAAGCAGTAATAATTTTCAAGTTATCATAGCATCCTTTCTTTCAAAGGGCTCCTCGTCTTGAATGACTTCATCTCCTCATCTCTGTGAGTGGACTTCCAGGATCACACAGAACAGCAGCGAAACGAAACGAGGAACTAATAATTTTACTCGCAATAGTCAACCGGAACTCCCGGCCGTGCCCTAGAATCAAAGTATCCATGACGATCTGAGGCATGTGTTAGCCATAGCGATGGCGTACAATGGCTAGTGTTTGACACGGGATGTTCCTAACATGTTCTTTACCCGGTACCGATGGTTGGCTAATGATGGAACAGCCACAACTTAGTACAAGTTGTCTCAATAAACTGCAACATCGAATATACCCCCCGAGGTAGCACCCGTGCACACTTCGAGTCGAATTTTCGGTCAGACAGTAGTGATAGATACTGAGTCTTCCAAATCAGGAAAAGGTTTTCCCTCTAAGTAACGTTTCGAATCAGGAAATGGCTGAAATTCATTGATGAACTTTGAGGAGTACGCCGGATAGAGTTGCCGTATTTCAAGCCATTAGTACCAGAAACCTGTCATACATAGCCGACATGATGACTTCTAAGCTTTGTCCAATCTGAATTGGTTTGTAAAGCTGAAATAAAGCAATGCCAACCGAGCGACACCGAACCATGATGTTTATAACAATTTACTCATCATCAGATGTGAGAGCAGTATACTTTCCGTACGGTGGCTCTAACTGTTACAGTTTTCCCCACCAATGATTTGGGAGATCGGGTAGATGGCTGCTCATTGGAGGCAGTAGCTGATATCATTGGTGCATAAATACAAGGCTGTCACTGATCTTTTAATTGGGAAGACTGGGAGAAGAGCTATGCATTGATTGCAATAGCTTGGATTCACGAGCGCAATTGAAGTTGCGACCGGGCCATATCTGACAATATATCTAACCACTGATGTGGCCCGTCTTGGGGTCCCCATCCATATAAATGTGGAAATTGAACCAACCGACTTCACGACCTTGATATAAGCACATTCCATTTGATAAAGGTTGCTGAAAACTCTTCGACAGCCCATGACCGGTTTCGCCCTTCTTGGGGCTCATCAGGTAGGCGCAGTCCCCGAGTTTTCGTCAACCTTTTTGATCTACTTGAACTCAAATTGGACTGTTTTCGAGAAATACACACATTTGCAAATCAATTTGGTTTTCACGAGGGACTCAACTGAATCTCTCAAAAACAGTCCAATTTGGATTCAAGTAGAACATAAGGTTGATGGAAACTCGGGCACTGCGCCTACCTGGTGNCTCAAAAAAGGCGAAACCGGTCGTGGGCTGTCGAGCAGTTTTCAGCAACTTTATGAATAGTTTCCTTTATGAAATATACTGCGATATCTCGAATATCGTGGCAACTGAATCATGAGGCGGCCTGTGTGCAGCACATTTGGTTGTAGAATATCATAAGCGAGAGATTCAGTTGAGTCACTCGTGAAAGCCAAATTGATTTGCAAATGAGTGTATTTCTCAAGAACACATTCCATTTGGTTTGGAATTAATGTCGATAACGAACGTAGTAGACCCGTGAAGGGTTCAGTTTCCTCACCACTGGAAACAATCGTTGGACGTGCACTTAAAATTGTCTAGTTAGTTTCAAGAAGATGTACTGAGAACCGGGGTTTCTCAGCTTAGTTTGGCTTCATCTTTTGGGATGGAATTTCGAGTTTTAACACTGCTAATTCCTCCCTCCATGGCGGTAAGATATGGTGGAAAACTCAGGGATACTGTGCACGTGCATCGTTTTTATTGGAACTCAACATTGTGTACATTACGAGACCTACGATGGTCCTTTAACCGCCCGAAAGGAGCTAATTGCGGCGAGGCAACTTGATGAATGGCCTTCCTGTTACTGTTTCACATATGAGAGGCAACAGACCTACACTGTCTCTTAGCTTTTCAGTGAATGTTTCTCTTACCCAAGGGATGAAGTCGATATTTGGATCTTCACTATCTCGCCACCAGTCATTTTTCCTCTTGACATTCTACAATCGACCACAAGTGCAACACAGTTGCAGATTTATAGATTAATTCGGAACCCTACGGGTTTGTAGCTTGCACTACGTATGTAGTGGAAGGAGTCAGAAGGTGAGATGTGCCGTGCTTTTTCATGCACTGACCGAAAGAAAGAGAAATCCAAACATTTTCTCCAGCTGGTCAATTCATGGTCTGGAGTGGCGACATTTTTACCTGCTCAGCTATAGGCGTGTCAAGTTGCCTTCCTTGTTACCAGACAAAAATTCAGCATACATTATGGGTCAACTAAGTTAACGATGTCTATATTAAGCCTATCCATCTCGTAAGCTGTTGAATGACTACGAACCACCTTTGTATATCGACATGCCCCATAGCAAATACCATGATAAAATGGACAAGTGACTGTGTTCGGATATTGAGAGCATTTGGTGAATGGTCCTTCTAGTGTACGATTACCTGCTAAGTGGTGCCAACTGTTCCTCGCTTGCCCTAACTGAATGCGAATGCCACATGAAAATGTAACGCTCGCACTACTAAAGCTAGGTCAAAGTAGTGCGATTTCGTTGTATAAATTGTTCTGCGCACCATCCGTCAGTGCATCCGACCTTCCGACGGCTTCAGTCGCCTTGGCAGATTGAGCAGCACGACTGTTTGCGAGCTGTACACTGCGCCTCCAGAGAGGTCTTCAGTGTACTCATCGACCTTTCATCCAAAGAAGTGCATGTGTAGCGAGGACACTTCAATCAAGGGAGCAACCAACATGGGTTTGGAGTTTCCGGAAGGCGGCCACCATCGTTCCTCTTTGTGCTTTGTAGAATCCCACAGATTGTTTGCGTTTAAAGCGTGACAACTCCCCATTCAAGCGGCCAACAGGCAGCGACTCACGTGAAGTGAGCCACGCGACTGAATGACGTGTCCTTCCTTGTCTAATTGTGAGTAAATCACGCTGTTGATCATGCCCTCCTTGCCGGATAATGAGTTGTTCAGCAACTTCGTTAGATTCACTCGAACCTCCGCACGGATTCAACACAAGCGCATTGGAGATGCTTTCCAATAGTAATAAAAAGGCTCGATAGTTCATATCGATTTACCAATTTGAGTGGACGTAAGTTACACGATCGATTAGAACGTATAAAGTATCAGTACTGTGATGCACACCCTATGCATAGTATCAGTAGGAAATTACAATTTGAACACGATGGCATTTACCGTGCTGTGCACTTCAGAGCACACAGTCGGTTGTCATCAAGTGATTGGTTAAACGCAGGAATCCAAGGAATGACGTCTCACTGAGAATATTCATACTCGCTCATTGAAACCAATGATTGTGTATAGCTGATAGTCTAGATAAAAGAACACAGTATGTCGCTATAACTGACCTACTGCGTGCTACACACGATCAATAAGGGAAGGTATGCCTTCTCTCATTCTGAACCGTTTTTAGTTCAGCAAGATCAGTACCTATAGTTTACCGAGAGTAGGTGCCAACTAAGCAAAATTAGGCGTCAAACTGATCGTTAAACGTCCACTTCCGACTGCAAACGATTTGCCAGTAAAAAGAGGTATTCCATGTTTTCAGACGCAACGCTGTTAGAACATTTTCTCGGTACCTATTATATCTGCCGATTCGCTAATCTGAGGTATCTGCTGCTGACCCGCTCCAACGCCTAGTTGCCGAAAAAAGACTCACAGAAGGAAACACAACAGCTGTATTCCGAACAAGCGAGTGCAAGAGCGTGAGTGCCTGCGGATGCGAATGTACAACGGTCTCAAGCTATTTATTGGACGGACACTGTCTGAACTCGGCCCAATGCTAACGCACACTGTCTGGCTGCGACGTGCTGCATATTGCGGGGGCGTTGTCTGACCTTGATCATGAGCACTGAAGCAGAAGAACTTGCGTGATAATTAATTGACTATTCAATGAGAAAATTAACGCTATAAGTTACTTTAAGATTTGCCCGTAAGACCACTGCAATTACCACCGGACAAACATGACAACTAGGGAGGGTGTATTTAGGTGTATGATTGTCCAACAGCCTACACCGCTCGGGTGAGCTTGGGTTCATTTCAGGCGTCTGAATATATCCAGTGCCCATTTGTGGGTTTTAGCCTCACCCCTATCACCACAGGCAGTCAGCTGTAATCAGCTTAAAAAGTGATAGGGCATATTTTGTCTCACTTATCGTACAAGTGTGCTCCAATTTTGTGGGTAATAGCTGATGTATAGTTCTTACCATATAGTCTCATAACATTTGTGCTTCCAACGACAATGAGTAGTAGAAATGTGGGACCAGATGAACGCTGGATGATGACTTCTGTTCGTTGAGACTTGTGGAGTTCACTTGGGTTCACTTGGATATACATGGAGTATGTGCGCCACAGCTTAGTTCACTGAAGACATAGTAACGTCCACTATGTTTCCACCCGACACTGCTGTTGCTGGTAGACGAGGTCAATCCATCAAGTTGACTAATCAGCGAGGGTGAACTGGTGTCGAATATGGAAGCAAGGCTAGTCTCGGTGTCGGGAATACCATATACACAAACATGTCAAGACTAACCGGCTACGACCTCACCAATCAGTTAGTGAGTGCCCCGAAACTGGGATACAGAGGCATCAGTTGACAAGTGAACCGCAAACGTTTTGGAGAGAAATTTTCGAGAAACATCACCAAAGTATATCTCGGCCCCAAGATGGTCCAGTTATTTTGCCGTGTTCGCGCTACAATTTTGGGCTAATATCCCCTGGATTTCAGTGGAGACGATCGATTTCTGACAGGGCGAACATCCACTCCCATTCACAGAGCGTTCAGTTATAGTGAAAAGAACATAGGTTGTTTCAAGGCCTCCTTGTTGAGTGAAATGGAAAAGAGCACGAAATTATAATTCTCGTAACAACAGGTGCTAGGTTAATATCCGAGTGACGACTACACACTGTGTCAACTAACACTACTGTCGACTCTTAACAGTTACATAGGATAGGGGCGAGATGTTTAAGTAGTTAGAGCGCAAATTTACTGATCGGAAGGTCCGTGGTTTGAACCCCACCTCTGCCCCTCGATTTCCCCTGTCTATGCTTGGGTAAACTGGCAGTATCCTAGCCCTCGTGCTTCCTTCGGGTGACATGGTGGCTAAGCCCCAAAAGGGTGTTACAGCTGAACGATTATCGATTATCTTATCCTACTTACATGGGACAGATTACTTCTTGTCCAAAAACTAATGGTTTCCCTTAATTCCAGTCAGTCTGGCCTGCCGTCGCGCAAATACAAAGTTAATAACTTGTTTTTGTTCTTCTGCACTAAGGACTCCTGTAACATACGAGGAAAAGAGCAACGCCTGTCGAAAGCTCACTGGACTTCGATCGTTAGAGGACAACAACAGATCAGCAAGAAGAAAAATAAATCGAAAGTTCAGTAAAACGTTTTTCCATTCAGCAATGCTCCGCCACTGCGGAAAATTTGTGAAGGAGCAGAAACAAAAACTGTGTGCACAAAATTCATAATTTAGTCAGTTTACCGATCCGGAAATTTTCACCAAAAACATCTGGAATTTCGGTGCAGCCTAGTGAATATCACGAACATGTTCATCATTTAATGTGTTACGTTGAAATCAACTGTTTTGATCAGATCTGTCGGATGTCTCTCCAAGTCCTCTAGAGAGCATCGCATGCTTGTGGTTGCCATTTTGGCCTGGTCAGAGTTAGGTCTTGCCACCCGGGTAACACAAAAGTGCCACTCTAAAGTGCTGTTCCGCTGAAAGTTAAGCTTTTGGAAAGAGTTATCTAAAGATACATGTTATGGAGTTTGCGAGATGTGCTTTGCCCACTTCTACATCACTCTCGTTTGACAGATATCCTCCTGTCCTGGCGCAATTATTCTGGTGGATCCACACCAAACGGGGGGAAGCACTGGAGTCGAGTTTCGCTCTCATTAGAGCTTACCAGCAGTGCATATCCAATGGCCATGTTTTGAACTCCGGACACCTGACATGCGAGGCGAACGTGTTACCACTATTTCACCAGCGCACTTTGGATGCATCTGAATGGGGGACGCATCTGAATTCTCACGTCTGAATGGTTGAACCTGTTCAAACGAGAGTGATGTGAATGTGAAAAATTATTTAAAGAATAGTTGGATTCAGTCTTGGAGTCATGGGGAGGGTAGGATCAAAACATATATGTAGGCCATACTTCTTAGAAGACGGCGATGGTAGTTCGATGACCATCAACGAGGTAGTTTACATCTGTGTTGTAGCTGACTGCTGTCTCCACTCCAGTGTCAAAAAAAAACTCACCAACAAGGGACACAACAGCTTTGTTGCGGACAATCTAGTACAAAAGTCACAAGGGGCCCCTTGGTGTTCAAAGCGCACGCTTGACCTTGATCCGGGTTGTCAGATCGGCGTTGGGCGAACATGCATCATCGTTGGCAGTGCTTCTGCGATATACCTGAACACTCATCATAATCACTGCTCGAATGTTCGATCGCAAGCTGCTTTTTCCGGCCTGGGTGCTTGGTGGCTTCTTTACTGTGGTTTCGGGCATTCAGAGATCGTTCCCAGGAATCTTGACTCAAAATATTCCGGAAAGAAATGTAACAATGTGTTTTTCAGTGAGGATAAGCTCCATCGGTTACTGGTTCTCCATCAAGTATGAAGGAGAATCGCAAGGGAACCCTAAGTCCAGTTTTTCCGTCAGCAAACGTGCACCAAACGTACTAGATTTCCTAGTGTTGTAACTTCATGGTCCAGAGTGACTGAAGTGATGTGCTCTGCACCAACTTCAAATATAAACTTGTTTGAAAGCAGCCTCGAGACCGATTTCTGCAGTAACACGATTTAGGCATGCTGTGATGCACAGTTTCAGACCAGAAAGTGCAAAGACTTGCATGTATAACTTTTCACTGCGAACGAATGAATCTGGGAATAGAATTTCGTTTCCTCCGGAAGCAGTTTGCATTATCCAGGTGATTTGTTTTCTACCCGAGCAATCTAATAAAAATTACTGTGTAAGCTGTCCAGAAAAAAGCACAAATTGCTTCACAATTAAGGTCCTTCAATTCAAATGTGATTGACTTGGTTTCTGTTGGACAATCGAAAAAGAGTTAGGCCTTTCCAACTAGCCAAATTTCTGAGGAAATCAGTAGTCGACTTAGTTCCCTCTGCTGGGTCCTGAAGGCGAGATGGTGGAAATTAGCAGTTAACTCGTTAATCAGTGTTAGCTAAAACTTGGGTTTTCTAGTGCAGTGTGAAAATTTCATCACAATTTGCGCTTCTTTCATGGTTTGATGTCCATAACTGTGAAGTTGCCTCAAATATGCCACTCCAGAAAACGGAAGGACAGGCAAAACTGCTGGATCAATACACTCACCGATTTCAAAGTAAGATGCGATGACATTTGTTCATCCGGTGGGTTGGTGGTTGTGTCCACCACCAACCCACCGCTACGCACTACTACGCTCCACAACAACGCACTGATGATGTCACCTCGATTGGTGATGAAGCGTTTGCAATCAAATTGCCCAGCTTAGCGAACAATCCAACGAACACCATCTACGCTACCTGAGCTACCAACACCTTCCTCTATAGAAAATTTGTTCATCCTTGCCAAAAATTCCACTTTCATGATAAACTTTATTGCCACTGCTGTCCTCTCACCTTGAAGCTATTTCCCACTCAAGAGTTGCTCGCATCAGGGCAAATTCGATATGTGTTGTACGATGAGTAACTGTTATGGTGAGTGATCAAGTTATCAAGTTCGTGGCCAAACACAGTATGACCTTCCGACCTCTTGGCTGTGGTCCAAAGTCAGGTGTCATGTGCGATGGTGAGAATGATTGGGTAACTGTTGAGACATCCCATGTTGACCTCAGAAGAAATGGCGTTTGAGTGCCCAATGAAACCAATGGAAAAGTACGATGAGTTTATCGGGAGCGACCAGCTTTGTGAAGTTTCTGATCGGCCAGGGGGGGCTGTAGAGAACTGGTCGGTCTATAGATTCACTAGAACCGGAACTCTGGCACCGACCTAAGCCAGTGCCGAGTGAATGGAAGCACTCTGCTTTGTTTCGGTTTCTCTGCAAACAGCCAGCAACTTACGAGTAACTGAACAAGTTCTCAAGCAAGAAAACTTTTGAGGTACAAACCTGATAAAAGGCAACTTGTAGAGTTTCCACCAAACTATATTCCGAATCTGCTTTTTGTTTATGCTCAGGATTTCGATTTATTTGCATTTCAACAACTCAACGGGTTCTGTTAGATCCCACTTTGGAGAAATCTCAGCAGGTCAAGCATGCTTGGCGGCCCGGAAACCGAGTTCCGAAAAATTCCCTACGTTTAATAATTCCAGTAAATAATTTCATTTTCTAGTCTTGTTTTTCTGAATGAACTTGGTTCACTGTGTTAATGCACCACTTTGATAGGTTCTCTGCTCTATATATGCTCACTCAACTAAGATGACAGAGAAATTGCGATCGTCTGTGGTATACACAAACCTTGACTTGTACACTGTGAGAGTATTCAGGGTAAAGCAAGACTGTTAGCTTTCTGTGTTGCTTCTCTCGCACTGATAAGCGCACGACGGTGAAGTTGGCACCATGAGTCTCATAGATTAGATTTCAAACACTAACCGATAGCCTTTGTCTGAGCATATCTGTGAGAATTAAGTTTCGGACGTATATCGATATAACCAGACGAAATAGAAACCCAGAATTCAGATCAGCGCAACAATTAGCACGTATGTATTCCAGTTGGCATACATATTTACAGCATATGGAATATTAAAACAAGAGAATAATGAACAGAGTAATGAATGGAGTATCAGTCATGTTCATCACAATATCACCTCATCAAATATCACAAATATGAAACGCAGGACGAGCTTAGCAAACACTTAGTTTACATTACATTAGGCATGAAGATCTCAGGGATACCAGTGAAACTATCCGAAAAATGGGGACGCGAATATGAAAGCTGACTTTCTCACGGGGTATAGGAATATGGGCGTAAAACAGGAAAGCTTATGTGGACAATTCTGGTTAAAAAACGGAGAGAAATTCGAGGATACCGCCTGTTTGCGTGCGCTCCATCAGGTTTTGACAGATGTTCATACCGTTTCCGCCCGGTCTCATTGCTCCGGTTTCAATTACAAATTAGGGCGAGGTAGAGCAGGGTTCCGAAACCCATCACTTTAAACTGAAAATGATCCTGGTTTTAACTTTTAGTCTTTTATTTTAATCACTTTGCTTCTCAAACAACATTTACGCTCACATCATCATTGATAGCATAACATCAGTGTTCAACTCTGATGTTTCCCTGCCGTACAATAAAACTGGACGGGGAAGGGACTTGGTGCCAGCTTATTACAATCATTCGAGGTGCCTACACCTTCAGACACTCATTCAGGAAATCTGAATAGCATCCAATTTGAAGTCACCCACTCGGAGTTTGAACTCGAACCATTGAAATGACATCCCACAGGACCACCACGTGGAGTGGGTCACAGAAGATCCTGATCAGACCATGACGGATTTGTACAAAGAAATGATTCTGACATTTCATGCGCCGCGGAAGATGGTACTAACTAACATGGAGCACCGTTAGAATTAGGCAATACCAAAAACAACAGAGTGTGTTCAAATGGATAGTGGCAAGAAAAGGTATGCTTCGTAGTGATTGATTTGACCATTTTGTCGACGACACCAGCCTGCGCAAGCTAACCACCAATGGTGTTCTACCTAATTTCGTGCCATGATTTTTTGAATGAACACTATAGGTGGCTGATTTTTTAAAAGTGAAAGCGCTTGATCTACTGAGGCCTCTTAAGCCCTGTAATCTAGGTTTTGCGAATCAGAACGACTAGCATTCTACAAGTGGTGGATTTGTTGTTTCTTACAAGTGCTTTTTGTTGGCTGTGCCGTTGTTGACAGACCTTGATAAAAGTCCCGGGATGGATCCACGTTTAGAGGCGCTCGTACATGAATGGCTACCACCGAATCGGATCTACCGGTTCACATATGCACATTGGTGAACAGCCACAGACAGTTCGTGCGGAACCAAATGTGGGGCTGCATGCAATTTCTTGACGCCAACGTAAGCTCCAGGGAATAAGATCAGTTAGCCATCCGTCGGTCGGTCAAAGTATGGTAACACGATAATGAGCACCAGAATCGGTCATTTGTATAGAACTAAGGTGTCAGCATCACCCTTCAATCTGACGTAATACCGCGTGCCGTAAAAAAGATCCAGAGCACCAGAGAACCATTGCCACATCAAGGTAGTCATTGATTTTCCACCTTCTATGGAGAGGGCTGGATACAGACCACCCGATTTTGATATTTTGTCACGTTTCAGTAGGGTTATTTGGTATTCTCTTTCTTCTGCTGATGGGCGATTCAGGTTTACATTACATTCACCCGTATCAACTGGCTCCAGAGGCTTGTTGAGGGAGGTTAGCTAAGCTGCTCTTCGATGTGTTCTGCCAACCTCTCCAGTCGGCGTTTTTGCGACTCTCACTCACTCTCGCTCATCGTTTCACTAGCCATTGCTTTCCTAGGGCTAGTCGATCGATCCAGTTGATATAGGGCGCGGCTCTTTTCAGCGGCGGAAGCCTTCATTGTCCACCAACGCTCTCGGTCTTTCCTTAGGCTCTTCATTATTTGGCTTTTGAGGGATTTGCGTGCATCGTCATACTCATTGCCTGTTGGTGTAGATTTCCTGACATTACTCAGAATATCAAGTGGTCATTTGATTGAATCGAATAAGTCGCACAGACAGCACTGAACGCCGCTAACATTGCTCCTTCCAAATTGCCATGCTTCATCAGCGTGATCGCTACCAGTACAGTGTTGGTTCACTGCAGAAAGTCGTTGAGGCCTGAAGGAAAGTAAATTGTCAGGTGTGTTCACACTAAGTAGTAATCGGAAAGTTATGTGCCCCAGAAGGAACGGTAGTCTTGAATTGTGGACCTCTACCGGTGGCTGGTAGCCACGTGACCCAACTGGTTCCACGAGTGGCTTGCACTTGGTGGTCGCCAAGATATGCTGTGAGCGCTTATTTTGGAAGCTCGTACCCTGCATTACCTCTGCAGGGTAACGGTCTCCCGGTTTCCAGAATGGGACTGGGACAGCCATGGCGATTCGTTCCTTAAAAATTGTACCACTGTAATCATACGTCGGCACCCATCCACTGCCTAGTAGTCAGGCTTTTAAACCGAAGACTTTGGTTGAGCACCCTATTTATCCTCCTGTCTAAGCGTGAGGGCCGTAACCATACCCAAGTCCGCATACAACCATGAACACCGCAACTATGTCGGCCTTCACGTGATATCATCAGCCGGGTCGCCCTATTTGCTGCATACAGCAGAGCAAGTATACAAAAACATGCTACTGTCAACGCCTTTCCCACACTTCCAACCATTCCCCCATCTGCCCTACACCAATCTAATATGAATACTCTCACTCTGCAGGACCCAAAACTAGGACTAACCACTTTGTTTGCAATACGTCACCCTCAGCTGAAGCGTCCGAATTCACTAACAACCCTAGACAATCCGAATTCTAAACGTAACACTCTATTCAAAGGGTTGCTGAAAGTGCTTCAGTTGAACCAGATCATCATAAATGAGAGATTCACTTGGATTCAGCTGAGTGTTTTACAGAGGGCCAAAAGCCCAAAAGTCTCTATACTTGCTGCTGACACGAACGCTTTAGCAGGTAGACCAAACGCTGCTGAGGACCAATGGGGTGGTCGTTTTGGTTTGGATGCGAGAAGAACGGGCAATAGAGAGTGCTTGCTGAAAATGTGTACTGATCAGAAACAGTTCCTTCGAAGCTGACGTCGTCTGAGCACATCAGTGTTCAACTCTGATGTTTCCCTGCCGTACAATAAAACTGGACGGGGAAGGGACTTGGTGCCAGCTTATTACAATCATTCGAGGTGCCTACACCTTCAGACACTCATTCAGGAAATCTGAATAGCATCCAATTTGAAGTCACCCACTCGGAGTTTGAACTCGAACCATTGAAATGACATCCCACAGGACCACCACGTGGAGTGGGTCACAAAAGATCCTGATCAGACCATGACGGATTTGTACAAAGAAATGATTCTGACATTTCATGCGCCGCGGAAGATGGTACTAACTAACATGGAGCACCTTTAAAATTAGGCAATACCAAAAACAACAGAGTGTGTTCAAATGGATAGTGGTAAGAAAAGGTATGCTTCGTATTGATTGATTTGCCATTTTGTCCGACGACACCAGCCTGCTCAAGCTAACCACCAATGGTGTTCTACCTAATTTCGTGCCATGATTTTTTGAATGAACACTATAGGTGGCTGATTTTTTAAAAGTGAAAGCGCTTGATCTACTGAGGCCTCTTAAGCCCTGTAATCTAGGTTTTGCGAATCAGAACGACTAGCATTCTACAAGCGGTGGATTTGTTGTTTCTTACAAGTGCTTTTTGTTGGCTGTGCCGTTGTTGACAGACCTTGATAAAAGTCCCGGGATGGATCCACGTTTAGAGGCGCTCGTACATGAATGGCTACCACCGAATCGGATCTACCGGTTCACATATGCACATTGGTGAACAGCCACAGACAGTTCGTGCGGAACCAAATGTGGGGCTGCATGCAATTTCTTGACGCCAACGTAAGCTCCAGGGAATAAGATCAGTTAGCCATCGGTCGGTCGGTCAGAGTATGGTAACACGATAATGAGCACCAGAATCGGTCACTTGTTTAGAACTAAGGTGTCAGCACCACCCTTCAATCTGACGTAATACCGCGTGCCGTAAAAAAGATCCAGAGATGCCTAACAGTACACCACCAGAGAACCATTACCACATCAAGGTAGTCATTGATTTTCTGCGTTCTATGTTAAGGGTTGGATGCAGACCACCCGGTTTTGATATCTTGTCACGTTTCAGTAGGGTTATTTAGTATTTTCTTTCTTCGATGATGGGCCGATTCAGGTTTACATTACATTCACCCGTATCAACTGGCTCCAGAGGCTTGTTGAGGGAGGTTAGCTAAGCTGCTCTTCGATGTGTTCTGCCAACCTCTCCAGTCGGCGTTTTTGCGACTCTCACTCACTCTCGCTCATCGTTTCACTAGCCATTGCTTTCCTAGGGCTAGTCGATCGATCCAGTTGATATAGGGCGCGGCTCTTTTCAGCGGCGGAAGCCTTCATTGTCCACCAACGCTCTCGGTCTTTCCTTAGGCTCTTCATTATTTGGCTTTTAAGGGATTTGCGTGCATCGTCATACTCATTGCCTGTTGGTGTAGATTTCCTGACATTACTCAGAATATCAAGTGGTCATTTGATTGAATCGAATAAGTCGGACAGACAGCACTGAACGCCGTTAGCATAGCTCCTTACAAATTGCCATGCTTCATCAGCGTGATCGCTACCAGTACAGTGTTGGTTTACTGCAGAAAGTCGTTGAGGCCTGAAGGAAAGTAAATTGTCAGGTGTGTTCACACTAAGTAGTAATCGGAAAGTTATGTGCCCCAGAAGGAACGGTAGTCTTGAATTGTGGACCTCTACCGGTGGCTGGTAGCCACGTGACCCAACTGGTTCCACGAGTGGCTTGCACTTGGTGGTCGCCAAGATATGCTGTGAGCGCTTATTTTGGAAGCTCGTACCCTGCATTACCTCTGCAGGGTAACGGTCTCCCGGTTTCCAGAATGGGACTGGGACAGCCATGGCGATTCGTTCCTTAAAAATTGTACCACTGTAATCATACGTCGGCACCCATCCACTGCCTAGTAGTCAGGCTTTTAAACCGAAGACTTTGGTTGAGCACCCTATTTATCCTCCTGTCTAAGCGTGAGGGCCGTAACCATACCCAAGTCCGCATACAACCATGAACACCGCAACTATGTCGGCCTTCACGTGATATCATCAGCCGGGTCGCCCTATTTGCTGCATACAGCAGAGCAAGTATACAAAAACATGCTACTGTCAACGTCTTTCCCACACTTCCAACCATTCCCCTTTCTGCCCTACACCAATCTAATATGAATACTCTCACTCTGCAGGACCCAAAACTAGGACTAACCACTTTGTTTGCAATACGTCACCCTCAGCTGAAGCGTCCGAATTCACTAACAACCCTAGACAATCCGAATTCTAAACGTAACACTCTATTCAAAGGGTTGCTGAAAGTGCTTCAGTTGAACCAGATCATCATAAATGAGAGATTCACTTGGATTCAGCTGAGTGTTTTACAGAGGGCCAAAAGCCCAAAAGTCCCTATACTTGCTGCTGACACGAACGCTTTAGCAGGTAGACCAAACGCTGCTGAGGACCAATGGGGTGGTCGTTTTGGTTTGGATGCGAGAAGAACGGGCAATAGAGAGTGCTTGCTGAAAATGTGTACTGATCAGAAACAGTTCCTTCGAAGCTGACGTCGTCTGAGCGCGTGTTGGCCCCAACTAACCGACTCCAATTCAGACAGACCACGTTGGAATCAGTTACCGATGGCGAGAATCGACCACTGATTGCCACTCCTTCTGGATTATCTGCGTCGACTCCGATCACGCATCTGTCCGTCGCTGATTTTCATTGCGATTTTCCGGGTGTATGCTAGTTACACGCTCCTCTAATGGCTATTGAGAAGCGAATGGACCAATGACTAAAACAAACATAGCAAAAACGGCTCCTCCCACGTTTACAAGCTGGTCCGACATCGGATGTTAACTATTCAACTAACTACTCAATGCCAGAGCTCCTATCCTCTAAAGAACCCAACCGACATCATTCGAGAACAGGATATCTGATAGGAGGCCCGGTGACAGGTTTCTCCTGAATCATCACCCAACTCGGAGCACTAGCCGATGCCACGTAGAACTCGGAGTCCGTACAGACCGGGGTCCTTCGTAAATCCCCGAAGAGACGGAAGTGGAAAATGTTGGAAATAATCGAATAGTATTCTACTGGATGCGTTCGCAAACCTATGGTAAGCGCAATCATCAAGCATCGTAGTGGGCCCACTATCCAGAAGAGGATAAGTTATGGAACGTTGGATGGAATGTTTCGTACAACAACTCAGCTGGCCTACCGCCACCTCTAATCCGGAATGCCCGCCTTCAACAGAAGGGTGGCCTGTGCATATGGAGCCCCGCCTTCAGCCTCAAGTGTCCAAGTGTATATCTCCGCATCGTGGTCCAGGTCTTAATCACTTTCTATGTGCCCTGTTCAAGGACGACAGTGGATTCCTAAGCCAGTGCCTGGCTAGCCGATCTAACCGATCTATCTGGGAGAAACAGAGTGTCCCAGACAATTGGTGTGAGTCGATAATAGTGCCCATCTCCCATCTCAGTTACCAGTAGTTTCAGCTGAAACAAGACATGATCACTGTTCCTGAGAGGTGCTCGTATATATACAGTACCAATATCACTAGTGAACTTTGTCAATATCGAGTTCAAAATACCGACTAATCCTACCACGGCACGGTGCTTGAGTGCTGAAATGAGGCCTCATAATGAATCGGCCCCAGTTGTCTCCAAACGAATTACGATCGGAATCGTTGAAACAATTAAACTTTTAGTGAAGTCTGCTTTTATCAGCATACCTGAAACAATTAGAGGAACTTTGCATAAATACACTGAAACCATTCACATCAACTAGCCGACAATTCACGTAATGTCT